CTCGGCAGTAATGGGAGGCTTCTCGCCCATGACGACCTTCTTCGCTTCTTCGGGTGCGGAAGAGAGTAGACGCCAGTACATGTAGCCTCGATCGCGGAGATCGGGGTTGTCTGTTTCCTCAGTTGCCCACTTCAATACCTTGGGTACTAGATTGGAGCCGCGGGTAGGTCTTTGAATGAACAACTTGACGGTGGCGGTAAGTAGCGCCAATTGCACCTCATGGGTTTCTTCTTGGAAGGTATCCAGGAAGTCTTCCAGCAAGACGTCCGAGTCTTCTATTCGGTCTGCGTATTGCCCGATGACCCAGATCATAGCGGCTTTCGCTTCTGGTTCGTCTAGTGAGTCGAGGTTCTCACATAGTGTCGAGATAATCGACTCGTATTGGTTGGGGTATTTCCGGAAGATGTTGCGGATGACGACGGTCGCTTCTTGTACGATGTATGAGACCTTCGTGCTGACGAGCGAGAGGAGGGTGCTGATGCACAATTGTGCAGCCGGCGCGATTTTGATGGCGAGTTTGCCAATGGCGCGTACGGACTTGCGCACAAAGTCGACGTCGATCTCGGTAGCGTATCTGTCGTAGATGTCAGTTACCCATATTCAGAGTGACCTTAGAGTACTTACTCAGAAAGCTCTGTCAGCACTTCCTTGATATTTCTCTCCGTCGCCAGCATGAAAATGAGCTCAAGTTTCGTGACCTTGACGTAGATAGGGTCGTTGTATTTGCAAAAGAAGACGCGGATATCGTTCCGCAGTACTTCCGGTCTGCGTTGCAGGATCAGGAGGGCATTGCGAAGTGCTAAGTATTGAATCTCGGGTCCCTTGGAGAGGAGTGTGACGAGCGGTGGTGACAGCTTGTTGCATAACGAAGTGACGACTTTCTGATCGCTGATATAGTTCATTAGGTAGAGGATAACGCGAATGCAGGTAAGAACGACGGCAGAGTTCGAGTGAGAAAGGCGCGGCGATATGCGCTCCGCGAGGAGAGCAGCCTCGCTCGTGTCCTGGGGAACGTAGTTCATCATAGCCTCTAGGATGTACGTCTGACCCCATTCTGAGCAGTCTGGCAAGATCTGAACAATCTTGGATGCGCTCGCATAGTCAATTGTGAGCTTGATGTTCTCACTTCGCTCCCAGATGTCCATGAGTCCTGCCAGTGCACTTGACACTACTGTGGGATTCTCGTCTCTTAGCATGCCATTCAGCCTGTCGATCAGATCTGATTGTTCCACCAAGTGTCGGTCGTGATCGTAGAGCTTCGCCACGCAGAAAGCTGCCGTCTTTCGAACGTATGGATCGGAGTCTTTGAGGAGGTTCTTTAGGTGCGGCACGGTTGCCTCGACGAATTCTCGAACGTGAACGTAGGACATGGTCCGTAGGGCGAGTGCTCGAACTAAGGGGTTGTTGTCGTGCATGTCTTCCTGTATGATGGGCAGCGCTTTGAGCGCAATGTCAGGTTTTATCCTGGCATAGTTGACGAGATACAGGAAACACCTGCCCGCGTCAGCATAGCCCTTCCTCAGGTGATCCTCACTACCCACATCTTCTTGATCTCCAAACTCGGTATGTGCATGCAGCCCACGATGTCCATGAATAGCGCGACCATGTCGTTGTTGCTCATGGTCATGTTGGCGACAATCTTCTTGAGGGCCGTCTTCTTCTGGGAGAAGTTCTTGTCCTTCTTGTTGCCATTGTTGAGTTCGACACGGAGTTCCGCGACTTTGCCCTGGGGGGTGCGGAGGTTTTGTAAGCGCGCGTTGTCAAAGGTGTAGGGTAGAAACATCATCATGGCAGTGGATGCTCATAGCAGACAGACAGGCTGAATAGGAGAACATGCAATTGCACAAGCCGGAGACGTGGGTGGCACGAATGACGAGACAGACGTACCCTCGCAAAGAGCTTCGCATCTTGGCCGCCCTGGCTCATGTTGGGCTAATGATGTCGCGTGTGCCAGCTGGGCTGTCCTCCCAATGCATGTGCCTGCCGTAGCACAATCAAGATAACCTCCCTCGCGACTTAGCGCCCCTCCCTTGCCGTCTCGAGGAAGCGTGCGGGGTTCGATGGCTGATTCGCTGGTCTATCGGCTTCGTATCGTGTCGCGCATATCGGAGGAACGTGGAAGAGGGCTGGAGAGGCGTAACGACAGGAATGATCTGTGATGTTTGGGAACCGTAACTTTTAGGAAGCCTGCCAGCGGTCAACACGGAGGAGGGGACGTGCATCCGCCAAGGCCGCCAGATGTGGAGCTCTCCAGAGGCCCGCTCCGCAACACCACGAGCGAAGTTGCAACATCGTGAGACCCTGGACCCTGGCCACCGCAACAACATCTCAGAGTCTGCTATCCGACACCTCGCCATCACAAGGACGCCCCATCATGTCGAAATCGCCTCCACCGCCCCCGCAGTGGGTGCTCGACCTCAACTCGACGCCCGCATCCAAGCCGAAGAACGCCTCGCTCTCAGACCCACCGGGCTACACGGCATCTCTCACCAAGAAGGAGCGTTCTCAGGCATCAAAGACGCAGAGGCAGCCCCCAACCCCAGAAGAGATGGATACGCTCAAGATGAAGAAGGCGTGGGAGGTCGCCATCGCGCCCGCAAAGCAGTTGCCCATGAACGCTTTTGGTATGTCATTTGACAGGAGACTCTGTGGGCAGACACTAACAGTACCAGGCATGTACATGACAGGCAACACTCTGCAAATTTTCTCCGTCTTCATGGTCTTCACGCTCTTCAAAACTCCCGTTCTCGCTGTACTAGGTCTTCAACGCACCTTCGCTCCCTTTGAGACACCCGGCACATCTGGACGACTACTCGGTGTCAAGCTCGTTTACATTGCATGCAACATGCTGATGTTGGCGTTGGGTATATGGAAAGTGAATGGCATGGGACTCTTACCGACAACAAAATCAGATTGGCTGGCATGGGAAAGTGAGAGGATATGGTCGGAAAGGGCAGTGCCGAAGGAGTGGTTGTAGACGCAGTCCTGGTTGGAGATACGTATTCTATGATTACTGTGACGGAATAGTCGCTTAGGCTTTATACAAGGCCAGCATACTGACTTCCTCCATTCCATTCTCGTCATCTCTGATCCTTTTCTCAGTACCCGTCTCGTGTTCTTTTTTCTTGTCCTTCTCTCGCTCGTTCTCCACCAGAGAGTGGTGTTCAGGTTGCCTCAGCCACTACGCGCCCACTCTTCGTTCTCGCCAAATTTCACATCTCCGTCTTCAATAATCCTCGTCTTGTCGCCCGTGGTTTCAGGATTCACACCCTCGTAGTCGCTTCCACCCACGGTTACAGAATCGTCTTCTGAAATCTCCCCCAACGTTTCTTTGTCGGCTACTACCTCAATCACAGCTGGCTCTTGTACGGCGCGGTCGAGTTCAGCAGCCGTCGCCAGGTCGGCGTGTAGCAGTTTCATTAAGACTTTTGGTATGAGATGTGGACCTTCGTGTCGCAAGTCCTCAGCTCCGTCACGGAGGTCGGAGATACTGTGGTACCCGTCGAAATGTCCACTGAGTGTCATTTCGACAGCTGCCAGTAGAGCGATAAGAGGATCTCCGACGTCATCTGTGTCCAGGAAGGGGGCGACATCGCTCCATCTGGTGATGGTTTGCTCTATGACCTTGAGCATATCACTCTCATCCTTTTTTATGGCGTCTTCATTACTTGGACCAGTGGCTGAGAAATCGATGAGCAGGATGTCTGGATAGCCGCGGTACCGATGGTGATGCACCGTAGGGTAGAGATTGAGCATGATGTTCGATGCCTCAATCTTCCCGTGTACCAGACCCTCCTCGTGTAGGAACCATACAGCATCGATCAAGCCCAGAATGATATGCGCAACGAACCAGCTGGGAATGCCACCGTGATCATTCTTAATGTTCGCTTCGCCAAACTGCGCCAACGTGGGACCGAAAATGGGGCGGAGACAGATGTACGAGGTGGGTGACGAGTTGGCGTACTCAGCGCGTAGAACATATGAACCGATGAATAGCGAAGCTTTGTCCCTCTTACGGTGCTCCTCGAACTGCGTTGCCTCGTTGCGAAGCACGTCCGTGTCTTTCCTTGTCTTGACTACCACCAGCTGAGGCAGCATTTTCAAATGTTGTTCCGATAGCGAAGATGTGCAGTTTTCCTTCATGCTCTTGTACAAACAGTCGGCCAGGTTCTTGTATGTGAGCAACGGCAGTTGCTGTTGAAGGCGCGCAAATCCAGACAGGGTCTTCCAAGCGTCGTGGTTTTCGATGGTGTCATCCGAAATATCCGGATCAATATTATTTGACGGCTCGAATGGAGGGGGAAGCGCGCGAGGTAGGCAAAGATACACTCCCGCGGAAGATCTCGGCGCTGAGAGGGTCTTGACCACGCGGAAGGACTCAGATGGGGGCCTGGGGACGGCACCGGGGAGACGTTTTACAGCGGACGCCTGATCGAACGACGGAGCGGAGGAGTCCATATTCGTGAAATGTTGGTAGCGATGTGGTAGAAGAGATGGTTGCAAAGTCGGTTGCAGAGCTGGTTGCGGAGTCGAGTGAGAGGACTGCCCAAATGGGAAATCACGGTGACTGTGCGCATGATAGTGCACCAGCCCAGCATACGACAGCCCCGGAGGGAAACCATCACTGGCACTACGCGTGTGAAGGCGCTCGATGCGCTAACAACGTCACATTAAGTGGGAAATAGCGTATCAGGATGAACCTCAGTGAGATACTGTGTGCACTGTTGACAGCCAGAAAGGGCACGTCGTCTGCAAAAGTCTGCTTCCAAAGTCTCGCGTTCATGTGCCGCTCGTTGTATACTGCTAGGGAAGTCTCTGAACGACTCTTTTACTAGAGAAGCGATGCCAATGAAGATTATAGTCAGTGGTTCCCGACGCGCATGGATAGGTGCGCGTGGTATATGTAGTGAAAGAGATTTTTCTGGTGAATACGATGAGCTGAGTTCGGGACGAAGCTCGAATGTCTTTGACCATGAATTCGGAAGCTATGATACTCAATATCATTTGATGTCTTGATACTCAGCACTGCTCTTCCAATTCTTCGGGTATCCCCTTGCAATGCGCCACTCCTCCGCCTTGGTTCTCAGCCTCTTATACACACCCTCTCGCCACCCACCATCACCATCTTCCTGGAAACTGAACGTAATTCCAAAAGGCCAATACAGCATGTTTTCAACTCGAGCTCCATCCTTAGACTCCAACAGGCCAATAGCGATGTCGAAAATCTGTGGCCGTTTGCCAGTAGTGTAGAAGACCACTGCGGAACAGGTGTCGCAGAAGTGGCGATAGATATCAGGCGAAGAGTTGTAGTACTTCAGCGTACCCACAGCGGGGTCTTCCGCGTCGATGAGTTCGTTGAGGGCGTACATGTCTTTGGGGAAGGCTTTGCTGCTGTCCTTTCCGAAGGATATGTACTTCGTCTCTGCGTACGTCCAGTCAAAGACGTCACTCCCACTTTGCAATCTGCAGCTGTCGCATCCACAGAAGCCGGCTTTGAGCTTCCTACTGACAGGTTCGACGTTGGAGGGAAGCTCATCCTGGGCCATGTGCTTGTAATCGCCACGCTGGAGGACCAGATCTACCCCGCCACATTTGCAGCGTATTGGTACACTTTCTTCCTCTTTCGCTTTGAGTTCCGGAAGAGTGGACGACTGTGGCCAGTCTGCAGGTAACTCCTTCGCTCCAGGGCCACGACCGGCTACCACACTTTCATACCGCTTCAGATCCTCCCCTTCACCATTGAGAGCACAGAGCCAAGGACTTGCACCACCATCCTCCGTGTCGGCCACGAAACCCTGCCCACCGAACTTGATCAACTGGCGACCTCCGATGTCCACGTTACCGAGCGCACCAGTGACCACTCCCAGATTCCTGGCCGGATCTTTGAAGGCACAGAAGACCGGGCTTGAGCAGGTAGGGCAGAATAAGAGGTCGAAGCGCTCCCAGCAGCTGAATGTCCGAAGGCTGGAAATGTCGACGTTGGCGCGAGGCTCAGGCCATGATGTGAGCGATGTGTGGAGCGAGCCGCACAGGTGCCGACAGGTCGTGCAGTGGCACACATGCCCTGGTAAGGGAAGAGCGGATGCAGGAAAGGTTGTACTGTAGTTGTGAGCGCCACAGAGACATGATGCCGTTAGAGTTACGGTCTCGGTGGAAGAAGACATCGTAGATCTCGAAATTGGAAACGATTCTGCAATCGTTGCAGGACACTCTGGAGATGATCCTGCTAGTTATAGGATATCCAAAGTCACTATCAGGATGGGTCTCCTTACTTGCTACGTTGCATGTGCTACGCCGCAAGCATGACGATGCCAAAGTGTGACCACATGCCGGCGCATGTCGAAGGGCGTGGCGTCGGATTGGTCAGCGTACATATGTGGGGCTCGCATTTTCGCGTCGTACCTCGCATTCAGGCTTGGGTGCACAACGAGTTGCTGTTAGCGGCTTGGTTAATATTGAGACGAATCCTGCCGTCGGCTGTATAACTTGAAGGATTTTTAAATCTTGACCACCCGCATGACGTCGAACAGGCCGGTCTTCTGCCTATCGGACATGCCTGCTTTCAGAAGACCAGTTGCATGTTCGCCCTCTCGGCCCCGCTGGTTGCTCACGAGCCTTGTGTCGCCTCGCTTAAACTCACATGTCCGGCCTGTCATACCCGAGATCCACACCTTCACATTGCGAAAATGAGGGCCATGTAGCAGATTGGTCCCGTATGCAGATGCCCAAGGCGCATCTACGTGCCAGGAGTCCAAACAACCAGGTAGATCTGGCGCGAAGGACGTGACAACGACGATTTGTCGCTCATCTTTTGACGCTCCGGAACATGTCAGTGCTAACGCGCCACTCGGTGATGCATTGCGGCTGTTGACTGCATCCAAGAGCCACCTCAAGTCCCTTTTATGCTCCGAGTTGTGCTTGACGACGTCCCACATCTCTATACCGGTATCCCTGTTGAATTCGGGCATCTTTCGCAGCACAGCAGGTGCGTCCGAATCCGGTATGTTACTCCACAGCGTGCAGCCAAGTAGCGTAATGTTCGTGCCCGGCACGTCGCTTCCCGTCTCGTATAGTATCTCCAATTTCCCCTTCAGAGAAGGCTCTCTCTCCATCTTGTGCGCCAACTGTAAGCCGTCCATCCAGCTAATGCCGTGGAACTCCAGCGGACCGAGCACCAGAAATACCTTCTCATGAAGACCACACCGTCGAATCAGAAACCACAGATACAGCTCGTAGTCTATAAGCCTGCCAATGTTTCCAGCAAGTATCAAGAAGGGCGCCGCGACGGGTACGTGGAACGCAAGGTATTGTGAATCGTAGTCTAGGTTGAGATCTGATAAGACCTGGAAGGAGGTCTTCGGGTTCGAGAACAGGCTAGACAGGCGTCGCAGTTTGCTCGGTAGCATCTTCGCGGGGGCGGTTGTATAGCAAACTAGAATTAGAAAAGGTGCGAACGAGCGTTGGGATGCACTTGACGACTAAAGCGCTGGTAAGGAGACTGAGGGGGTTGTGTGGACTAGAGACAAGCTAACAAGATCAACAACACGCATGAATGAAGCGACGGAGAGCCTGAGATACGAGAGAAAGAGCTCGTCTTTTTGTAAGGGCTGAGCGCGGCTGCGCCATGAGAACCGATCGCGGTCCGCAGCATTGCGGCGCCTGTGTTACTTTCCAACACCGTCGGAATCAAAGACGAACAAAGTTGCGACTGTGCCCATCCTTTCAATCCTTTCGATCCTTGCGGAGATTTGCTATTGGGCGCAACGCAACTGTGCAGCGTTTTGGTGTGGGAAGTTGGTGGCTGTGAAGAGAGATGGCTCTCTAGTAGGGATGGAATTAGATCCCGTCTAGGCCGAGTCCGGATGGCGCGATTTCGGCCCGGCCCCACGTCATCTCCTTCATCCCCTTCTGACCCAGCAGCGCCAGCTTTCGCGACGGCGACGACGGCGGCCTCTACAACCCTCAATGCGTTACAGTCGTCCTGCTGGTGTGTGCGCATCATTTGTGTTCACCCAGACTTCTTCGGCAGCCCACAGCGCGCGGATCTGCCTTCTCAGCCTCAACCTCCGAGGTCCACTGGCGGATGACGGGCTTTCCTTCGTGCCATGAGCAGTCCACATCGCGACGACCGCAGCTGCAAGATGGGGGAACACACAAGCTGAGGTCCTCCATTTGGACAATGTGACCTTTTTACTGCGTCGTTCCTCAACGTATGCGCCAGCACACGCCGACTCCATCGAACCTCGCGACCGATCACGTCGAGTGTTATCCATTGCTTGGAGTAGCCCAGTACCGTCACAAGTACCGGCTTATCAGCATCCTATACCCTCGGCTTGTCATCCTGTACAACCGCATGCGATATATGCGTAGGATGAAGTTCATGATCTCGGCTTTCATCACGCATGATGAACGATCGACATTACATCTCTGGCAGAAGGCACAGCAAACCACGTGTTTGGTATGCTAAACAAGACGCACATGCAAAGGCAGCTTCTTGCATTGGCATCGAACCGTGGCTCGGTACGAAGAAGAAGCCGTTGAGTACTGTGTGTTATCCGGCTAAATGTTACTCGCCTGGCGGCGGCGCCCTGGCCTGCAGCTTACCGGTTCACTGCAGTTGTCTGCCACACGCATCACTACCTAGTCGCTCTAAAATTCGTTCTCGCTCGACGCCTCTTCTCGTCTCGCTCTGCAGTGCCGTCCGCGGTGCGTCGAATACGATAGCCAGTGGTCCTGGGAATATATGCCTAGATCTACTTTGATTGTGAGGCTGAAGCACTAACGTAGCTCGGTTCCACCATCGACGGGTTGATATTGCGGTCGCAGGATCTACAGCCTGCAACCTGGGACCGACACACTGGCAGCTTCTAAGAATAGTCGTATTACCTGTGGACCATCCGACTGTTCCCTATACGAGCTCGGTATATTGCCTGCGTCTGGACTTGCCGGTCCTTTCGGCCGCCGTCTAATATCCCGCGTGTTCATTGTTGTTGACAAAAGCATGGAAGCTGTTCAGAAGTAAGAGCGTACTGTGATCTACACAACACGGCAGTATACCGAAGCTGATGACCATTGATACTGTGTAATTGATATGTGTTTCACATAAGTATCCGCCAGAATAAGTATCAGTCTCAGCCCCTGCGTAGCCTAACTAGCACACGAGAAGATCCCAGCTCTGCGTTCAGCTGCACGTGCAATATACTTCACGTATTACGGCAGCATTCCAAACCAATCTTCGCCTCCCGTGTTCGCGTACCCGGTAGCCAGGCACGTCTTTCTTACCACCTTGCTCGGTCTTAACCAATCATCTAGCCTCCGATCTTACCTCTTGGCTGTCAGCTCCTTCCTTTCTGGAATCTCGGCCTTCCAGATGGTCTGTCGACTTTACACCCGGATATGATACGATGAAGATGGGGTCAGAAGCTTTTGATCAGCGAGGTGAATGCCATATGGTATGACAGTATATGCAGGGTAAACAGCGGTCGTATCCATCTGCACCCTGATACCGGCATTCTGGACGGTCGGTAGCAATCATGTCTCAATCTAACGTATCACTGAAGCGAGATGTACTCCTTAGGGTTACTCAGAGGAAGTCTATAAGAGTCCGAATCCACGCACGATCATTTCACTCATATCAAGTTGTCCACTCTGTCACTCCATAATTGTTGCATCATCATCATCAAGCAAGATGAAAGCCTTCTCTTACTTCAGCTATGCTCTCCTGGCATGCACGCCCCTCACTGAAGCCCACCCAGGGATGGGCGATACCATGGCAGAGATGCGCTATCTCGCTGCCCGTGAAAAGCGACAAGCATCGAAAGAGCTCATCGGCGACCTGAAGACACTCGCAGACTCCAAGCTCACTGCCATCGGGAAAGACATCAAAGCGATCATCCTCGACCAGAAGTCTGCGGAGTCTGCCACCATCGATAGCTCCATCCCTGCTGGCAACATCGGCAGTGCCGCCTGCAAAGCCGACATGTGCTGTCATTGGAAGTGGCTCGCGTACGAGATGACGGCCAAGTTCAACGGTACTTCCGGTCGCTGCAGCAAGTTTGCTCGTCAAGCTGTTCGTCTGGGCTTCCATGACGCAGGCGTATGGTCTAAGAGCAGCAGTTATGGCGGTGCAGACGGCAGTATTCTCCTCAGCGACGAGATGTCGCGAACAGATAATAACGGCCTTTCAGCAATTGCCGACCAAACGAAGAAGTGGTACAACAAATACAACCAGTACGGAATGAGCATGGCGGACATCATCCAGTTTGGTGCCAACGTCGCCACTGTTGTATGTCCACTTGGACCCAGGGTCAGAACGTTCATTGGGCGTAAGGACAACAGCAAAGCTGGGCCTACTGGTCTTCTCCCTGGGGAAAAGGATTCCGCGGATAAGCTCATCAAGCTTTTCCAAGACAAGACCATCGACGCACACGATCTAGTCGCGTTGGTCGGAGCGCACACTACATCGCAGCAACACTTCGTCGACACTAGCCGCGATGGCGACCCACAAGACTCTACTCCCGGTGTCTGGGACATGGCCTTCTACCCACAGACGACAAACCCTAACACACCTGTTCGTATCATCAAGTTCCAAAGTGACATCAACTTGAGCAAGGACTCGAGGACGAGCGCTTCTTGGGCGCAGTTTAGCGTTCGAGGTACTGCTCAGCCTCAATGGAATGCGGTATGACTCGCCAAATACCCGAGAAAGGACCTAGCTAACATATTGATGCAGGACTACGCTAAAGCCTACACACGTTTGTCTCTTCTTGGCGTCAACAACATCAACGATCTCAAAGAATGCACTAAGGTTCTGCCGGCAGAGCGCCCTATATTTGTTAGTGAAGACCAGGTTTTGCTAGATAGGTGGCTCGCGGGCGAATTTGATCAGCTCAACAACTTGGTGGACGACGCTATCCAGCTGACTGGCGTGATCTCGTCAAAGGACAAGAAGGCTTGAGTATACTTGAGTGTTCAACTCCGTCAATAGCGACTTCTATAGTCGATGTAGTGTAGTAAATGCATGCCCTTACTTCTTTCATGTGTGTCTCTTATATGTATCCTTAGTCCCTGATTCATCAAATTTTCCACGTTCACTGATGAAACTTTCCGTGAGTTTAAATGAGCCGCGCAGTCACCGCGTAAAGCTCGCCTATCAAAGACTAGCCGGCACACGCACACACTCACAGGCCATCGCGTTTCTTGCAAACAGACTTTTGACCTTTCCGTACTTTACTATCGAGTCAACATCATCTCTTTCCTCGATACCATTACCCAAATCATCTCCATTCTCGAAACCATTACCCACATCAAGCTCATATAATGACATGCCTCCAATGCCTCAAGGACGCTCTCTCTCCCGACGGCCTCCCACCCT